GCCCCGTGGTGGATGGCATCGAGCAGGACGAGCCGCGCCGCAGCACGCCTCAAAGCGTATGAGAAATTAGATTGCACGTTGAGGGCTGCTAAAGGGCCCGGCGCGTTATCACGCCCGTGCGTCTGCTGGAGGAGGGGTCGGAGCGCGGGGTTAGGGGTAGGAGTGAAGGAGGGCTGGAGAAGGCCTGGAGGAGGGCTGTAGGGGAGCTGGAGGTGGACTGGAGGAGGGCTGTAGGGGAGCTGGAAGAGGGCTAGAGGAGAGCTGGAGGAGGGCTGGAGGAGGGCTGGAGGAGGGGAGAAGAAAAGGCTGGAGGAGGGCTGTAGGGGAGCTGGAGGAGGACTGGAGGAGGGCTGTAGTGGAGCTGGAGGAGGGCTAGAGGAGAGCTGGAGGAGGGCTGGAGGAGGGCTGGAGGAGGGCTCGAGGAGGGCTGGAGGAGGGCTAGAGGAGGGCTAGAGGAGGGCTAGGGGAGGGCTAGAGGAGGGCTAGGGGAGGGCTGGAGGAGGGCTAGGGGAGGGCTGGAGGAGGGCTGGAGGAGGGCTGGAGGAGGGGAGAAGAAAAGGCTGGAGGAGGGGAGAAGAAAAGGCTGGAGGAGGGGAGAAGAAAAGGCTGGAGGAGGGCTGGAGAAGGGCTGGAGGACGGCTGGAGGAGGTCTAGCTGGGCTGGGCGGGGGCCACGGGCTGCGACTCCCTTCTCCGTAGGAGACGGTGCCGAGGCCTCCGATGGGGTCGCCAAAGCCCCATCCGTTCCACTCCAGTGCATATCTCTATCCCGATCCCGATTTATATCAATCCCGGTGCATGGGGAACGACTGTATGCCTCTGCGCCTTGCCCCGAGGGGGAGGGGGCGCGGCGGAAAGTCGGGGGCACGACGCAGCGGAGCCCCGGCTATGCCTCGAGTACATGGTGCGGAAAGCCGAGTCAGGCAACGGCCTCAGAGCCGACGCGTGGTGCTGGGAGGAGGGTGCGGGGCGGAGCAAATCCCTGGACGAGCAGCTCACCATGGAGGGCGCAAGGTCCTAATGCCACAGAGGCCTGCCCGAGGAAAGGGCAAGGGTGTTTCACAGTGTCGCAGCGACACCGGCAGCGGCAGGCCACCGCGAACGCCAAAGTGGCGAAGCGGAATGGAGCCGTACATTTGAGCTGTGAGTAGAACGCAGCGCGTGGGTGGGTGTGGGTAGCGAGTGCTAAGTAACCGGGAATGTACCCACTGTTTTATTCGAGAGTAAATGGAAGGCATTCAGTCATAAAAGTCGAAGTCTCGCAGCATTAAAATAACAATCAACAGTTTGTGAGTGAGTGTGTTTTCTCTAGCACTGTGCCAAATTCAATACGTTAAAGAGGCCGTCACCAATTATGTTCAATAAAAGTGAATCCTCGTTTATAGCTATATCTGTTTCTACAGAAAATGTGAAGTGGCATCAAGAATTTACCGATAGGTCACTGACCTCATATTTTAATACAAAGATTCCGGTGTTGCAGGTTTTTTTCCGCTGCCGTCCGTGTACTGCCTGGTCTGGATCTGCCTGGACGTGTTGTTCTGCACTGCCTCCATCATGCACCTTTGCACCATCTCTGTGGACCGATACCTCAGTCTACGCTACCCCATGCGCTTTGGCCGCAACAAGACCCGGCGACGCGTCACTCTCAAGATAGTCTTTGTCTGGCTGCTCTCCATCGCCATGAGTCTGCCTCTCAGCCTCATGTACTCACAGGTACGCAAAAGCATGATTCTTGCAACGAGACTATCGTGTGCAAATTCGCAAAAGCTAAATGCTAGACACATTTAATAATAGACGGATGTTTCTGGATATTGTCTTAACTAAATGCTGGAGGGTAAGTTTATAAGAGTGAGGCCAGTCAATCTACCACAAGCAAAGATTGTTTTGGTAAGAGCAACAACACGCAACATTTCGATTGCACAGCAAATCCGTTTAGCAGTACGGTTGGTCCGTTCTCTATGTTAATAACAGACCACCTAAAGGGTTTCATGGCAAGCAAAACACATACAACTTAAACTACGCCTTTTTATATAAACAATAATCTCTCCTTAGCTGCCCTTATGCAATATTTTTGTTACGTGTGGCATACAGAGGAAAACACGACAAACATCTACATGAATGGGTGACATGACCCTCCCCCCACCCCGCCCTGGTTCGGCCGCCCCCGTATGTGCCCATCACTCACTCGCCATGAAATAAACATGGCGCGGAGAATAACGGGGCGACTACGGCGACGGAGCACGGCGGCGGGCCGGAGCTCAAAACGCAACAAAACGAGGAGATAAGCCCGTGCAATACTCAGACCCAGACCCTTACGTCTTCCTACCTGTCATTTTCCGTCACGTCTGTCATCTTGGAAGCACGCATGAACAATGAACACCACACCGAATCTGGATTTGTGATGACCCTCATTTCTGCTATGACTATTTTTTTGTGATTCCCTTCGATTTATCGCTTTTCTGGACATGATAACTTGGTATCGGGAAAAAACATGCAATAAATGTATATGGTATTAAGTTGTCACAAAAATAATGTGATAACTTTTCATCGCAAGTTTTTGTGATAGTAGCTCCTGTTTTACACTAAACTTTACGATTGGGAGTTGTCATATTATTTATGTAGTAACTTTCCCTTATACTTTTCATGGTATATTTTGTTGCCATAAAAAGTTATCACGTCTAGAAAAGCGAAAAATTAGAAGAATCACAAAATTGAGCTATCGCAAACTTTTGTGATAAAAGTGTCATGGATCCAGATTCGGTGTAAATTTGAGCATTATTTTGAACTTCACTTTCTTAAATAAGGAAATGATACCTTCTGAGCATAGGAACCCATCACCTAAAATTCTTAAATCAAATACGCGAAGCACTGGTGACTGCCGCCTGGGTTACACATCTGCTTTGACGGAGCGTTGCTTCCAACAGCTGCTCATGATGCAAGCACGCTCGACAACAATGAATGTGCGTCATTTAGTCTAAAACGGCTGCCAGACGGCCAGAGTTGGGAGAGATGAATTACAAATATGCTGCTGCGCGTAGGCACACACACACACACACACACACTCACACACAGGCGCGCGTGCGCGAGGGTCGCGGGTGGCAGGGTGCCGGGGTGTGGCCGCGGGCGTGTCGGGGCGTGGCGTGGTGGGGCGCGCGGCCTTTGCGGTGCTTTGAGCTGCCAACTTTCATTTGCATTGCTCCAGGCGGAGAGCGCGCAGAGCGAGGTGACCACC